ACAGGGATTCTGGAGAGTGTGCAAGTAACTCTCTGCTTTGGTTTTTAAAAGCGGATTGCAGGTGGCGTTACTTTATGGTGCACAATGATACTAGGGATAGACCGATATTTGGTCTTTTCGGCAATGGCCAATAGAGATACCGATATTGCCGATAATACATACATGACAAGTCCGGCGGTCCTGTGGGGGGCCCACAGCAAGCTCTTAGTTACCTTCCCAGCAGCTCCCCAGTGTAAATCTCGTGAGTCCCGCGGCCTTCTTTCACATATTCATCTGCACATTAAGATGTGGTTAATGGCATTTACTGTCCTGACATGAAAAGTTGTGCCGAGCAGCAATCAATCGACAGAAGGGTTAATGCTGCGCAGCAATTATACAAATGGGAACCTGGTAACTGACTTTGGGGTCAAAGGCCGGTTACAGCCTATCAGACCTAGAGGAGGGGTATTTAGGCCCAGTTCTCAGCCTGCTCAGTGCCCTGTCGTGGTTTCCCTTGTGGTTGTCCGAGAGCGCGTTATTGATTTTGGTTATTCTGGTTATTTGACTTTGGCATTGTTTTTGACTTCCCTGTTTTCTGGCATCCCTGACTCCTGGCTTTTCCTTATCGTTGTGTCTCTTTCTGTTTCCCTTGACCTCGGCTATTCCTGACTATTCTTTGGTACGTTAGTCCGGCCATTCTAAGGTCCGGTATACGTTACCTATTAGTCCTCTGTGTTATACAATTCTACATGCTGGATCATTCTGTAATCCTGATACCTTCAGAGCGTTGCCGCGCGTTACCAAGACAACGTTCCGAGCGGCACGCAGGCCGCAAGATTTACACAGGGGAGCTGAAGGTAAGGTAAGAGCTTGCTGTGGGCTCCCTTTGTACTTTCCATGCAACTGGACCACCAGGGAATGCCATATCCCCCCTCCTTAGCCAGGTAACAAGCAGGGAGTGGGGACTTTAAAAAAAAAAAAAAAAAAATAACAAACAACTATTATTAAATATTTTAAAAAAAACCAATTAAATAAAAAATGTCCCCTTCTCTTAAATTACATACCTGCAGAAACACACACACACTGCATTATATAAACACACAGCATTATCTAAACACACTACACAAACACACTGCATTCATTTTATACACACACTACATAAATACACACTGCATCCAGTACACAAACACACACACACTACACAAACACACGGCATCCACTACACGTGGCATGTATATTTTGTGCATTTACCTTTAGAAATAGTTTATTTTTTCAAAATGGTAAATGTACAGATAATCGGTAAGTTATTGGCTATCAGCCTAAAAGTTCAATATCGGTCGATCCCTAAATCATACACAAGTATACTTACCTATAATTAAATGATATATGAGATATTGCTGTCCGAGCATTTTTGGGAATTATTGTTTACAAACATCAAGACTTCAACATTTAGCCACTCTCCACAATAACATTGGTTACTTAGTGCAGTTATGAAATTAAATGAAAGAGCCTGATGCATTTCAAAATGTGTTTATTTAACCAAGAAAAAAAAACAACATTGCACAACCACAAGTCTGGCACTGGTATCACACAAAGACATGATATCCCTAAACATGGGACAGGTGCTTGCGATGGCTCACCTGGTTAGTAAATCTGATTAGAAAGCAGCAGTCTCCGTTGCACACAAAAGGCACAACAATTCACATGTTAATCTAAATGAGGCTAAGAAGAAATCATATTTTGTGTGCTTGCATACAAAGTCAAAATCAGAATCCATCACTAACCAAACAGGAATGATATTACTTGGGTAAATATGGTCCATTGGAGGGGCGTTCAGTATGAAAGCTTATTGTGAAGCCAAGTTTAAAAGGAAGAACTGTTTGTGCAGGTTATTCCTCAGTAACAAAATCCTACAGTTTCCAATATTCACATGACCATGGGTATGGTATGGTGCAAGGCAATAGGGCATCTTGCAGGGTACACGAATTGGTGGATGCTTATCCGACTGTCCCAGAGTATTACAGTTTTAAATATCCTGTATTGAAATAGGTACTGTCTCTTTAATCATCGCATGAAATGCTCTATATACCTATAGAGAAATATCAATACATGTGGACAAACCATCATGTTAAGCCAAGTCCCCGCAGTTTCCATAATAACAGAATTACACAGCTGTCACTGCGGAGGTTAAGCCATTTCAGTTTGGATTTAAAATAGATTGAAAGAAAAAAAAATTTCATAACACCAGGAGCAATTATTCAAAAAATCCACTGAATACATACAAATGCATTAGCACAAGCTGTAACAAAAGGTTGCTCCCCATATTGTTTAGAATTATGACTCCCATTATGCTAAAGAATAGCTCTGTCCTTATGTAACCAGAGAACTAATGAGCAATCCCTAACTGGTTAAAATGAAATCAATCTGTTACTGGATAAACCAGTTAACTCTCTAAATGACGGTACTACTTAGAACAAAAGGAAAACCAGGAATGTACGTAGTACAGAGTCACTGCGCTTTCAATGTGCGGGGAGTAACAGATGTTCTAGGTTTATGGAATCAATATAATTAGCGCCTACAGCCAGGCAGGTTTAATAAATCCTATTTACCTACTAGCAGTCTGAAGTAGAGCAGGATACTTTATTAATACACTGGCTGGCAGGACACAGTCCGAGTGGGTTTTACATACTGTTAATCGCCTACTTCATGTTAGAGCAGGTGTGATTTACATGTATCAACTGCACAAAATCTCAGCACTTCGTTCTCGAAAACGGACCCTTCAGGTGCTTAGAAAACTCTGGTAAAATAGTTTACCTGCCTTAAATCTTCCCTTATTCACTCACTTTCACCTGGAATGTGGTCATAATCCTAAATCCAGTCCTGTATCTGCATGGTTATCACTGGGTTAGCTATTCACAGCCAGTTGCACATTTTAGGGCGAAGCAGCCAAACTAAAAAACAAACTTAGCGGATGTGGAGAATTTCAACAATTCAGTCATTCTGGCCTAAGAGTCCTGTCACGTCATGTCTTACAAAACACCAGCAATGCACTGTACATGCAAACCCCCAAACACATCATCCGCACTGAACATGCAAACCCCCAAACATATCATCCGCACTGTACATGCAAACCCCCAAACACATCATCCGCACTGAACATGCAAGCCCCCAAACACATCATCCGCACTGTACATGCAAACCCCCAAACACATCATCCGCACTGTACATGCAAACCCCCAAACACATCATCCGCACTGAACATGCAAACCCCCAAACATATCATCCGCACTGTACATGCAAACCCCCAAACACATCATCCGCACTGAACATGCAAACCCCCAAACACATCATCCGCACTGAACATGCAAACCCCCAAACACATCATCCGCACTGAACATTTATACGCATAACCACAAACCGTCATTAAGGACATAGCCGTTTGATAAAAGCATACTTTCATAATTCCCAAAGTACCTGCACACTGATTGTTCATCTAAACACGAATTCCATTGGCATAAAATAGTTTTTTATATATAAATCTAACAAATCTTGACGTCTATGTATTGATTATAAGCCAAATCCAAACTGGCACTACTTAACTTATTTCAGAAGTGATTCCAGTTTGTTAGTGCATTTGACACATGACGCCAACAAGTGTTTTCTTTTGCAGAGACGACATTACGGTAATATCCTTGGGAATTATATGCATTTATCCACCTTGTAAACCTCAATATATTTTGGGATTATAGTATGTGGAACACTGATGAACAGTTTAGACCAGGCTTCCCCAAACTCTGACCCTCCAGATGTTGCTGAACTACACCTCCCATGATTCTATGAATGAAATCGGCTGAGAATCATGGGAGTTGTAGTTCAGCAACATCTGGAGGACTGGAGTTTGGGGAACGAAAGGTTAACTACGGTCACTCCACTTTATGTGAACTAAATCTCTCCTGATTGTGGGAATGGCGAGAAACAACCTAACAGGAGAGAGAACAGTTGTTCCATCACTGGCTTCCGATGGTGTGAGCTGCATGGGTAACTGGAGAGGAGTTGGATACAAGCACTTTCCTACATTGAGGTTTATTCACTAAACAGAGAATTGTGGAGAATTAAACAGGAATGGCACTTTTCAGACCTGAATATACAAACTCCAAAGATTCTCCAACTCTGATATTTTCCCTTAAAATTAGCAATATCCCACAGGTTTTGTCCAGTATTCTGAAACTTTCCAAAGTGTGTCACCCTGAGGACATCCGTTTTAGCTGCCATTTGTGTCACCAAGTGATATTGCAATTATTAACACATTAATAAAAGCCGAAAAAAGCTGGTATCTGCAGTTTTAGGATATGGCCACCCCCCCTCAGTGGCTGCTCACAACCTGCTGGCCACAGGCTTTTTAACAGCCAAACCTGAACTAGCCACAATGACTATTCAATGAAACACGAACGAGATCCAAAGCGGTCAGCTTGGGGGAAAAAAACTGATGCAGATTCAACCAGCACATAATAAGCGGAATGGGGAATTAAACTGTATAATTAACACCCAAATAAAAGGGATGGAAAATAATGGGGTTATTTCTAATCCACAATTCAAATCCTGGAATCAATGGCACCCAGTGTTTACAACATGACTATCACCAAAAAAAAAGACACTTCCAGACAAGAGGAAATAAAATAGTGCATTACATCCCATTCTCTCAGGGCCCCAGTAACAGGAAATATTACCATCTCTGAGAAAAAGTGCACAGATTCTGGGTAATGCAGCAATGCTACAACCACTCTTATTCCAGTGAGGTCTGCTTTAGGAAGATTGTTTTGATTTTGACAAGGGGTGCAGAAAACCCAACTGGAAGTGAAGGTTTAAACAAGATTGTACCAGCTTGTGCCATTTTAAATGTTTGGTAGAAAGAGGCAGGGGGAAAGACACTCACCGAATAGGGAAACACATTGTTTATAAAGATAACTGAGCACAAAGGGACACGTTGGCTCTTTTACACAGTTAAAATTCATATATACAAGTTAATGGAAAAAACCCAGTTTCTCAGTCAACCATTCTTCAGTGAGATCTTCAGTGTTTCTTATCTCGAAGACCTAAAAAATAATAATAATTCAGCATTTTCATTCAACAAGCACAAAAGTAAACAAACAGATTGATGGTTATTAATTTGCTCTGATGTTGGTGAGCTGACACTAAAACCAAGGTGAGGGGGCGGGGGGTAAATAAGAGTATAGAATACAAAGATTGGGGAGAGCTGTGAGAATACACACAATATAAAGAACTTGGCTTTTCAGCGTGTTAAATCACAGATTATATTACACACAGTGCCAGGGTATAGAATACGAATATTGGGGAGAGTTGTTAGAATAGATTATTATATTATGGATTACACACAGTGCCTGCGCACAGTCGGTACCTTTGTGAGCTGTGCTGTCTGGACCAACTTGTTTTTGCTTCCCGCGTACATCATCTGCTGTTCAGGTTTACATCCTACATTGACAAAAAAAAAAAAAAAGGCTTAGAATGGATTACTTTAACTATAAAAAGCCCACTGTTTACAGAACGCCTATTCACTTCAAACACACAGAGATCTTTATAATATATACACACATTTTTCCCCCCAACCCTGTGTGATGGGTATGAAGCTGCCTCTGGAGTCCAAATGAGTCAACATTGTGTTTGTGCCCGGATTCGCACAACATATAGATTGTAGTCGGTCTAATTATTTCGGTCATTGTCTCAGCATCACGCCAATAATGAAATTTGCCGGATTAGGGCTTTGTTCCCCGTCTTTATAGGTTTTATGAGACGGGTTTAAACGCTCTCAACCTATCACAGGGCAATGATAAATTCTAGACCTTGTGTGAGTATTAAGAATGCTCTCTGTGCCATTTCGTTAAAAACCCAGATTGGGGTATGATGGTGGCATTACTTGTAAAAGGCAGTCTGTTTTGTAAGACATTTTAGGAATGAACAAAAAGTGTCAATTTTTCTTCTTGCCCCCCTGTGTATGTTTTTTGTGTTTTTTACAATTTGCCTCTTGGATATTCATCTCTACAGACTTGGAAATGACTTGATGCTAACTTAATAAGTTCACTCATGTCAGCTAATCCTGGTTTTTTTCAGTTCCGTTTGTGTGGAACCCTTCAGAATATCCAGCCTGCCTGCAAGCAATCACTGTAAGCCACGGACACACATATACACCTTATCTGGCCACAGTTCAATGATAACATCGAGCCGTACATGGAACATACCAACGGGACTGGAGAAAATGAAACACAGCGGATAGGAGACTCTTCCATCATCATGTAGGTACTTATAACTGTATACTATAAATGTGAGCAGAGTTAAGGGAAACATCAGATCAGTAGCCAGGTATGAACATATAAAGAGAAGGAGGTTCAAAGGAATCATCACAAAACCTCTGTCAATGTAATCTGGCCGTGAATGAACTGTTAAGATTTACTTCCTGGGATGGAGAGACAAAGTCCATACATATTTACATGCGGTTTAGATTTATCTGGGATATATCTGTACATTCAAGTCATACGTTGGACACACCTGACTTGATATGTTTCTCAAATACCTGCAAACTTCCACGGTTATTCTCCAAAGTGAGCATTGCTGGGAACAGATAATTTAGGCGTAAATAGGCAAATCAGAAAAAGTCTCCCAGTCAGTTGTTTCCAGACCAGCAATTTTGGCCTGGGATTTGAAATTCACTTTAACCCCCGGCAATTCTCACTTTATTAAATACTCCTGTTATTGGCCGAATGCTTAAAATGTGTACATTAAATATAAATTTAACTTAGAACACAAAACATTTTTGTATTTAGTAATGGGAAAAGCATAAAACACATGAAATAAACAAAAACAAAAACCCATGGGATATAAAACCAGTTTGACATGTAACAGTTTTTTAAAATTATGAACGGAGCAGATCAACTTTGTGATCTTGGAGAGGCAATCCCATTGAATAAAGGATATCGTGGCTGCCTTTCTGGCAACTCATCTTTAAGTTCATCCGGAGAAATACCCTGTTAATAGAAAATAGAGCATCAATTAATAGGGCAGAGCCCAAGATGGTGTAATTGCTGAGCTAGACGCCTCTTGGGAGGGATTCTGCAGCTCAGGGATACTGTAATTACAGTTAGATTTTCACTTGTCTCAGCTGGCAACAATTAAATGCACGGAATGATTTACTCTGCAACATCAGATAACAATCTGTCAGGACAGCGAACAAGGGAGCTTACAATCTGTCATACGTATACTACATACACATACTGACAGATATGCATACTGTCAGACTGACATACAGACAGACACACATACATACAGAAATACTGACATACAGATAGACACACACACAGGCACACATAGATACTGACAGACATACAGACAGGCACACATAGATACAGACATACACACAGACTGACATATATACTGACATACAGACAGACACATACATACTGACATACAGACAGACACACACAGATACAGACATTCACACAGACTGACATATATACTGACATACAGACACACATAAATACATACATACCGGCCGTCACTTCCTCCCAGCAGTACTTGCAGTGCAGCTGGCATTTTTAAAGGGTCCCGGTCGCGCTATTACACGGCCACAGCTCAGACCGGGCCCCTGAAGATATAGTGCCCATTGGGTGGCCCTAAATGCTTGGGCTACCCGATGGGCCCTATCAGCGTAGAGGGCCCGGTCTGCCTCTACACATGGGGCCTGGGCCCCCAAGGGCCGCTGGGCCCTTGACAACTGTCATGGTTGTCACCCCCTGATGGCGACCCTGCCAGTTGGAGCTGCTGGCAGAATACTCATTTAGTTTTGACTGATATAATGTGCCCTGGAAGGCAGAGTGCAGAACATTGACACTATATATGCAGCACTTTCTGGCAGTTATCATTCTGCTCTATTGATTTATTTTCCTTGACAAGCACTTTAGGATTCACACCTTATGAATTTAAACAAATGCTCTAATACTCTTAATTGATACTACAAAACAATAAACGTCTGAATTTCTCTTAACCCCTTAAGGACACATGATGGAAATATTCCAGAAGTTGTGTCCTTAACGGGTTAAAGAATAGCAACAGTGGAATGTACAACTTAACCTAATATTGCTACCAATTATATGTACTTTAAATTAACTCGTTGGAAACGTCTGCATCTAACATTGGAGGCAACCTGGCCAGCTGCCGAAAAGCTGCTCTCTGATAAATAGAAGCAGAATCTCTATACACTAGCTTTTTGTTTTGTTCACTGTATTAATTGATGTAAATATAAATTTTTCCAAAATATTTCTTTTAATATCAGAGTGATTAAATGAGAAGTTTTAAATTTGTGTCAGGACAAACCCGACCTTATAAACTTACACCCAGGGTTATCCACTCAATATGCCAATGATAAAAGAATAATTGAGCTCCCCATTGTAACTATATACAGGGAAAACTATTACATGCTTATTTGTATTCTTTTTATATTTCTTAACTCAACAGGACTTAAAGGAACTCTTCAGGCTAGAAATGGCTAATGACAGATGGGTAAGGGGTATGAAGTGAAGCCACCCAGGTAGAAAGTGATCAGGTATGAAGATAGAGAGAGCATGGGCAGGGATGGGTAAGGGGTATGAAGTGAAGCCACCCAGGTAGAAAGTGATCAGGTATGAAGATAGAGAGAGCATGGGCAGGGATGGGTAAGGGGTATGAAGTGAAGGCACCCAGGTAGAAAGTGATCAGGTATGAAGATAGAGAGAGCCTAGACAGGGATGGGTAAGGGGTATGAAGTGAAGCCACCCAGGTAGAAGGTGATCAGGTATGAAGATAGAGAGAGCCTAGACAGGGATGGGTAATGGGTATGAAGTGAAGCCACCCAGGTAGAAGGTGATCAGGTATGAAGATAGAGAGAGCATGGGCAGGGATGGGTAAGGGGTATGAAGTGAAGGAACCCAAGTATAAGGTAATCAGGTATGAAGAGAGAGAGAGCCCAGGCAGGGATGGGTAAGGGGTATGAAGTGAAGGCACTGTGAAGAATCCGCCCCCCCCCCTTTTTTTTTTTTTTTACAATATTTCTTCCCTATTGCATTCGGTAGATTTAACTACCGAACAAAGACCACCACCTGGCTCGTTAAACTTCAAAGACTGCTTCAATTAATCCCTCTATCTGTGCGGCCAGCGTTCGTACTACCGAACGCCACGTGGCTGAGAAAACCGCGGCCATCTTTGTTCATGCAAACAAAGGCAACGGGACTTGGTCGTCGAGTGTCTGGAACTAAAATCGGACACTCGACTTCCCGAACACCGGTCTCAAACAGACGAACGCTGGAACTCTACTTACCGAATAGCTAGAAGAGCGCTATTCGGTACTTTGGTGCATTTGACAGAGGGAAACAATCGCTGCTAAGAGCCAGGGGGATCCATTCGGTACTTTATTCGCCTTTTCCCCTTTACTAAAGTGACCAGCAAAACCCACCAAACTCATGGAACTGTTTTGGGCAGCCAGCCCAGGGTGACCCAGTCACAGAAGACTTCCACAGTTTTTGAGAACCCCTGAACCGATCTGGGTGAAATTTGAATATGTTGGTCACCCAGATCGGGGCTGTTATTTGTGGGGATACCTCAAGTATAAAGGGGTGTTTCAGATATTGGGGAAAAATTTGATTTTTCTGCCTGGAGGTAATCAAGTTAGTACTTTATCAGACTTGATTATCTCCAGGGCTAGGGGAGGCCCTAACACGACGGCCATCTGCTGGCGCTGTAACTTACAAGAAGGCACTATGCTCCATATGTGGTGGTCCTGCGAAACAGTAAACAAGCTGTGGAAAACCACCGAACACCTGATTCAAGAAATCACAGATTACACCCTGCCACACGACCCAGCAGCAGTGCTTCTCAAGTTATTTCCAGATAACATCCCCAAAGCAACACGGAAGATGATATTCCTCATACTCAGCACAGTGTCCACCCTGATTGCCAGAAACTGGAAGACCCCCACTCTTCCTTCAGTCTCAGAAATCACAACCCTAATGTCTGCAACGGTAGACTACGAACTCCTTATGTGGAACCAAATGAGCATAGGGAAACTAAGCCCAACCATTGCCGAGATGTGGAGAAACCACGTACAAAAGTCAACAACACCTAAACAAAACAGCTCAGCCTAACGCGACACAAGGCTAACTTGACCAAGAACAATGTTGCCAATCCAGACCCCGACTAGGTCTAACGTCCCACCATAACACCTTGCCAAACATAACACCACTTCTTGGTACCGCACCAAACACCCCCTTGCTACCCCTTCCACACACCTTCCCCCTGCTCTCCTCCCCCCCCCCGCCTCCTTCACCTGCTCTGACACCCTAGACAAGGAAGTCCTGATAGTGCTACAGACTTCAACTACTAGCCCCAGAACTACTAGCCTCAGAACATCCCACGACCATCTCGCAAACCTTGCTTGAACTAACAAAACAAACACTCAACAGCAACCAAACAACGAGACCCCCAAACAGTCCCACGGACAGTACACATATACAAGGCAGTTCTCAGACCCCCCAACACTAAAAGACACGTTAACCACTGACTGTTAGATCCATGCAAAGATCCCTCCCCACATAACTTATGATCCTGAATGTATTACAGCCCTGAAATATGTGTAAAATGTACGTATTACTTACAAGCAATGTCAAGCAGTGTCAAGACGCACAATTCTGCATTGCCCCCCTCCCTTTTTGCCTTCTGTACCCCATTATACTTGAAAATAATAAAGAACAAGTTACAAAAAGACATTTCTCGGACATCCCCAAGCCAACTCGACAGGGTCTAGGCGGGTGTGCCGACCTATGGACTTATAGGAGAGCAGTGTGAAGAAATCCCCCCCCCCCTTTTTTTTTTAAAACAATATTTCTTCCCTATTGCATTCGGTAGATTTAACTACCGAACAAAGACCACCCCCGGCTCGTTAAACTTCAAAGACTGCTTCAATTAATCCATCTATCTGTGCGGCCAGCGTTCGTACTACCGAACGCCACGTGGCTGAGAAAACAGCGGCCATCTTTGTTCATGCGAACAAAGGCAGCGGGACTTGGTCGTCGAGTGTCTGGAACTAAAATCGGACACTCGACTTCCCGAACACCGGTCTCAAACAGACAAATGCTGGAACTCTACTGAATAGCTAGAAGAGTGCTATTCGGTATTTTGGTGCATTCGACAGAGGGGAACAATCGCTGCTAAGAGCCAGTGGGATCCATTCGGCAAAACCCACCAAACTCATGGAACTGTTTTGGGCAGCCAGCCCAGGGTGAGCCGGTCACAGAAGACCTCCACAGTTTTTGAGAACTTTGAACCGATATGGGTGAAATTTGAATATGTTGGTCACCCAGATCAAGGCTATCAGGGGATATGTTATTTGTGGGGATACCTCATGTATAAAGTGGTGTTTCAGATATTGGGGAAAATGTGATTTTTCTGCCTGGAGATAATCAAGTTAGTACTTTATCAGACTTGATTATCTCCAGGGCTAGGGGAGGGAATTGTGGGTGTGTGTTATGTTTTTACGGTACTTGATTGGTTAATCTGTGTCCCTCCCTGGGGGATGTCCCCTTGCATGGGGACTTGCATAAAAGCCTGTGTGCACTCATTAAAAGTGAGTTCAGTTGTACCCTTCTTCTTGACTTCGGCTGATGTTTGGGGCTTCGTGTGTTTCATTAAAGGAATTATCTCATGAAACTACTGGGATTACTACACGATTTGTCTACCTTATCTACCGAACGGAGAGCTCTCATCACTAATGCTCTGGCGGTTCGGGAGGAAACTACCGAATGAGGTTTAAATACACTTGGTTTCCTTACAGGCACCCAGGTAGAAGGTGATCAGGTATGGAGATAGAGAGAGCCTAGGCAGGGATGTGTAAGGGGTATGATGTAAAGGGCACCCAGGTAGAAGGTGATCAGGTATGAAGATAGAGAAAGCCTAGGCAGGGATGGGTAAGGGGTATGAAGTGAAGGCACCCAGGTAGAAGGTGATCAGGTATGGAGATGGAGATCTCCCAGGCAGGACGTAGAGGAGTATAGAGTATGAAGGAAGTCATTAATAAGGTAAGAGGGAGCATGGAGGCTGTGTGTTCCTTCATGCCGATATCAGCACACAGAGAAATGATTCTTCACTTGTGAAGTTAATCTCATTGAAAGCAAATCTTAGAAGAATTTAAAAAGGCAAAGATCTACGGGGTAATGAAGATAAAATGGTATGACTGCAGGGATGCAATATGGCATGGGAAATTTTAACATGGAAAGTAGAAACAAATTGGCCCCTTTATCATAGGAAAGTTTGCAGGAGTATATTAAAATGCTGTCCTGCAGGATAATAACCGTAACGTGACAAACACCACGAATTTCAGTATAGTGCACGGCGGGTGAAGGAGAAAGACAAATATCAAGGAGGATAGTGAAAGAGAAAGGAGGGCAACACAAACTGAAAGGAAGAGCAATAGGAGGGATGAAAGCAGGAGAGAAATGATATATACAGATATTGATACATTGGCGGAGTAGATTTTACAGATGGGGAATAAAAACATGTGGAGGCCACTGTATTAGGCGACTCCAGGGAAGAAGTAAAGGATTCATGCCGGTTTTTCCCTTGTGGGATTGTCTCCGCGTTCAGAATTAGAGCGGCAGATGGCACTGGGGTATGATGTCATAATTCAGCGCTTACACTACCTCACTCTGCAAACAGTGTCAGGAACCAGTTTCCTTGGGACTGTAGGGTATTTAAATGGCAGAGAGGGTTTGCTGTACCATCAGTGGATGTATTTTCAGACACATTCTATGTTTAACCCACCTCGTGCTCCTCTTCCAGAACCACCAGACGCCTGTCTTTATCGATCTTCACTGCAAAACACACACAAAGAACAAAATAAAAAAACAGTTGTGAGCTATACGGTCAAGCACAAGGCTAACAAATGTGTTTGAAGATTAAAAGGGACACTATAGTCACCCAGACCACTTAAGCTCAATGAAGTGGTCTGGGTGCCAGGTCCCCCAGGTTTCAGAGAAACTGCTATGTTTATATAGCAGGGCTAATCCAGGCTCGAGTGGCTGTCTTCCGGACAGCCGCTAGAGGCGCTTCTGTGACGCTGAATGCGAAAATCGCATCCAGCTTGCAGAACGTCCATAGGAAAGCATTTCTCAATGCTTTCATATGGACGTTCTGCAAGCTGGATGCGATTTTGCCGCGCATTCCGCTCCACTCGGGAGCTGATGTCGGCGGGGGAGGAGAGGTCACCAGCGCCGTGGGAGCCTGGCGCTGGATTAAGGGAAGAAACTGAAGGGGTTTTAACCCCTTCAGCGCCAAGGGAGTGGGGCCCTGAGGGTGAGGGGACCCCTAGGATTGTAATAAACTTGTTTTCCTGACACTATAGTGATCCTTAAAAAAAAAAAAAAAAAAAATAGGAACTTTCAACATGGCATTCTTCTCAGGAGGATAAAAGAGGGAATATCAGAGGAATAGGTAAGCATGGCAGTTATTTCAGCACAATGCATAGGATGTCAGCTCACTGCCACTAATCATCGCTCGACACGTGGCCACACAGACTGCATCACTTCGTTCCTTTCTAGCATTGCATCAGGACTCAACTGGACAGGAAAAAGATTTCATTCAACATGTACTCCTGAGCCCCGGCCTGTGCGATGCATAGGTCAAACGGCTGCTTACTATACATGAAGGGGATCGTGTGGAATCTTATGTGTCAAACGCCAACATTCTGTGCAAGGGCTTGATCTTACTAATTATGGCGGCATTATTGGTTTCTTTACGAAAACGGAATTTCTTTAACTTCTCAACGAGTTCTTCATCCACATCGCATACAACCAGAGACTCACTCTGCAAAAACAGGAAAAAAAATGCTAAATTAGGACGTGGAAGTTGATACTTCCTGTTACTAAGGACAGAACACATCCTGCGCTGTATGGCATTACGCCTGGTGTTTTATACAGTGGGTAATTGCTGCATTGTGAACCAGCAGAGTCAATGAAGAAAAATAATTTCATTATCAAAACAACAAAAATCATAAAAGTGATCCTTTTATTTTTTCAATTGGCAAAGTCTTGCTTTTCTTTCCTTTCACTCACCTTTAATTATCTCCTTTCTATTCTAAAGGGATACCCCAGGCCCTAAAGTATTTCAGTTTGCTGAAGTGCTTTGCGTGTGAAAAATACCCCCCTTTTAAAATATTACAATAGAAATTTTTTTTTTCAATTAACCTGGTTACACCCCCTGGCTGACAGACACCTGTTCCTTCCTGGTTTGGTTAGCTCAGTAGAACTAAACGCAAAAGGCAGCAATTGCCCAGAGCATCTGCCTTGCAAACAAATCTCAATGAGTTGCATTTGGGAAGTCTGTGATTGGATAGACACAGAAAGTCTGGGCGGGGTTACAATGGGAGGGCTTGTAAAGGCTGCAGACAAGAGATCTGTGTTGCCAAGTGTTGCCTTTTACTTTTATTTTCTACTTCGTAAGGTCTCAATATCTGGGCGCTGCCATTTTGTTCTCCTATGTACAGAATACCTGTGGTTTGCCATTCTGTAGGATTTCTTTGACTGATGGATTGTGGGTAAAGTATGAAAACGTAGTTCGGGCGGCTGATTGCGGAGGCGGTAAGGTATATGTAATCTCCCTACTCTGCTTCCTTGTGTGCCCTCCAGTGATGCTGTGAGCCGGAATGTGACGTCACTCCGGCCCCCGCATCACTAAACAGCGCTCTAGGGAGCAGAGCAGGGAGATGACTGCAGCCCCACTGAACCCTAAGAAAAAAAAAATGGATCCACTCCTGCTCTCCCAAAGGTAGGGAGAAAGGTTGGACACATTAAGATAAAACAAATAGTTTTCGAGTGAGTGTTGCATTATCAGAGTGTGTGTGTGTGACAGAAATCAGTAAGTGTGTGTGTCAGTCTCTCTCTGCCAGGGAGTGTTTTGCCTGTCAATGTGTCACTTTGCCAGGGAGTGTTTTTCCTGTCAATGTGTCGCTCTGCCAGGGAGTGTTTTGCCTGTCAATGTGTCTCTCTGTCAGGGAGTGTTTTGCCTGTCAATGTGTCGCTCTGCCAGGGAGTGTTTTGCCTGTCAATGTGTCGCTCTGCCAGGGAGTGTTTTGCCTGTCAATGTGTCGCTCTGTCAGGGAGTGTTTTGCCTGTCAATGTGTCACTCTGTCAGGGAGTGTTTTGCCTGTCAATGTGTCTCTCTGTCAGGGAGTGTTTTGCCTGTCAATGTGTCGCTCTGTCAGGGAGTGTTTTGCCTGTCAATGTGTCACTCTGTCAGGGATTGTTTTGCCTGTCAATGTGTCACTCTGTCAGGGAGTGTGTGCCTGTGTCTGTTTGTGAGTTTCTGCCAGTGAGTGTGTGTCTGTCAGTAAGTGTGTGCCAGTCAATGTGTCTCTGCCAGGGAGTGTTTTGCCTGTCAATGTGTCTCTCTGCCAGGGAGTGTTTTGCCTGTCAATGTGTCACTCTGTCAGGGAGTGTTTTGCCTGTCAATGTGTCACTCTGTCAGGGAGTGTTTTGCCTGTCAATGTGTCGCTCTGTCAGGGAGTGTTTTGCCTGTCAATGTGTCGCTCTGTCAGGGAGTGTTTTGCCTGTCAATGTGTCTCTCTGTCAGGGAGTGTTTTGCCTGTCAATGTGTCACTCTGTCAGGGAGTGTGTGCCTGTGTCTGTTTGTGAGTTTCTGCCAGTGAGTGTGTGTCTGTCAGTAAGTGTGTGCCAGTCAATGTGTCTCTGCCAGGGAGTGTTTTGCCTGTCAATGTGTCATTCTGCCAGGGAGTGTTTTGCCTGTCAATGTGTCTCTCTGCCAGGGAGTGTTTTGCCTGTCAATGTGTCTCTCTGCCAGGGAGTGTTTTGCCTGTCAATGTGTCGCTCTGTCAGGGAGTGTGTGCCTGTTAATGTATCTCTCTGTCAGTGAGTGTGTGCCTGTGTCTGTTTGTGGGTTTCTGCCAGTGAGTGTGTGTCTGTCAGTAAGTGTGTGCCTGTCAATGTATCTCTCTGCCAGCGAATGTGTGTCTGTCAGTGAGTGTGCGTTTGTCAGTTTGTGTGTCTGTCAGTGAGTCTCTCTGCCAGTAAGTGTGTGTGTGTCAGTTTGTGTGTCTGTCATTGAGTCTCTCTGCCAATTAGTGTTTTGCCTGTCAATGTATCTCTCTGCCAGCGAGTGTGTGTCTGCCAGTGAGTGTGTGTCTGTCAGTTTGTGTGTCTGCCAGTGAGTCTCTCTGCCAGTGAGTGTGTATGTTTAGGTGACAATCACAAAGGAAAAGTGTTTTTACTCACCTTTTTTGCCCTAGCGTGATGGTGACGCCGCGGCTATCTCCATTTTCATGGCTACGATCATCAAGCTTGACAATCTCCGCAAATCCAATGCTGCCCCATAGGAAAGCATTGGGAGACTACTGTGCATGCGTAACAAAATGCTACGCTGCGCCAGTTAACTTATCGTCATAGACATGCATTGAATCAATGCACCTCTGTGGGGAGCTTTCCACAACGTAGGGAGCACCTCTAGTGGCTGTATGAGTGACTGTCACTAAAGGTGTTGCTAGGCAGCAATGTAAGCATGGTCTGATCTGAAATTATGGTGTTTACATTGAAAAGCGTTCAGGGACAGGATATAGTCTTCAGAACACATTAAGCTGCAGTGGTTCTGCTGAATATAGTATCCCTTTAAGAATTGCATTTTTGCTGTTGAAGCCCTGTTTTTAGCTGGCTCCTAGATTCCAAGCAATCCCTGGTGAAGCCTGGTGTACACACACATTCCTTATATAAGGCATCAGATGTATGAGATATATTAGTAAAACGAGAAGACAGTTGTTTATCAGGGCAGGAATAGGAATGTAAAGGGTTTAAAGTACAGTAATGTTCGGATCTTTGATGATAAGATTACAGAAACTCTGATCACTGACACAGGCAGGTAGGTGTCACTGAGTGTGGTAAGTGTCCCAGTTAAGCCATTTCTCAGATTGATGCCTGCATTGGACGTGGCAGTCTGTGTCTGCGATTTATAATGCATGGAATGTCCCCGCAGCTCGATTCCAGACTGTGCAAGTCCAGGCATGGAGCTCGTTCACCCGGATCTTACATGAGAACACAGAATAATACTCTGTGAGCCACGGCTAGCGGACAATGTAATAACACGTGGCCGACTAGCCGTAAACGTCCCTGTATTAATAGGAATAATCCTCACAGCACCTCCGTGGACAGGGTGTCCAGTAACTGAATGCAATGGGCAGGCGTCCAGGATGTGCGTGTCACTCCCAGCTTTAATACTACTTCGATTACGAGACACTAATCTAATTAATCACACAGCGTATCCATGGAAACGTCCAGCGCAGGCAGAGCTAACAGGCCCGGCTAGAGGGGATTTCTTCATTAAAACTGCTGTCCGACGTCCACAATACAATCAATCCATTTATCTATCTGGAGTCCAAATCCTATCCCTTTATTAGTTAGGAAGGATTTCCTTTCTGCAGCATATAATGACTGCATACATCAGGGCAGCACATTTTAAATGACAGTTAGTCAATAAAATGCAACAAATCAGGAAATCCACAAAACTGCAGCTCTTTCTCTTCCTCCAGTGTGCACCACCGCTGCCTGCAGCGTAGATTAATAGTAATATCACTGCAGCGATTATTGTGTCAGGAACGTCACATCCAACATGCACCAATCTGAGGGGAACTGCCACAGGAACGGGCGCGGCTCTATTCCTGGGTGGGACTCTCTGGCACTATATGGGTGTGGCCATGTGGGCGTGGTTTGTCCCTGGGTGTGGTTCAGTGTCAGTGTGTGGGCGTGGTTTGTCCCTGGGTGTGGCTCAGTGTCAGTGTGTGGGCGGGGTCTGTCCCTGGGTGTGGCTCAGTGTCAGTGTGTGGGCGGGGTCTGTCCCTGGGTGTGGCTCAGTGTCAGTGTGTGGGCGGGGTCAGTCCCTGGGTGTGGCTCAGTGTCAGTGTGTGGGCGGGGTCTGTCAGTGTGTGGGCGGGGTCTGTCCCTGGGTGTGGCTCTGGGTGGGCGTGGTTAGTCCCTGGTTGCTGCTCTGGGTGGGCGTGGTATAGTCCCTGGGTAGGCGTGGTTAGTCCCTGGTTGCTGCCCTGGGTGGGCGTGGTTTAGTCCCTGGGTGGGCGTGGTTAGTCCCTGGGTGGGCGTGGTTAGTCCCTGGGTGGGCGTGGTTAGTCCCTGGTTGCTGCTCTGGGTGGGCGTGTTTAGTCCCAGGTTGCTGCCCTGGGTGGGCGTGGTTTAGTCCCTGGGTGGGCGTGGTATAGTCCCTGGGTGGGGCGTGGTATAGTCCCTGGGTATGGTTAGTCCCTGGTTAAGCTGCCCTGGGTGGCGTGGTTTAGTCCCTGGCTGCTGCTCTGGGTGGGCGTGGTTAGTCCCAGGCTGCTGCCCTGGTGGGCGGTTTATCCCTGGGTGGGCGGGTTTAGTCCATGGGGTGGGCGTGGTTTAGTCCCTGGGTGGGCGTGGTTTAGTCCCTGGGTGGGCGTGGTTTAGTCCCTGGGTGGGCGTGGTATAGTCCCTGGGTGGGCGTGGTATAGTCCCTGGTTGCTGCTCTGGGTGGGCGTGGTTTAGTCCCTGGTTGCTGCTCTGGGTGGGCGTGGTTAGTCCCTGGTTGCTGCTCTGGGTGGGCGTGGCCATGCCGTCGCGGTGTGTGAGGTAGTTAGGGGGGAGGAGGCGGGGCTTGCCCGGAGTCTCCGCTCACGCTCACCATGTCCGCTGACCAGCCGGCTCTGCAGTCCCGCAATCCACCAGCTCCCAGGCTGAAGCAGAGCCACGTGACCCTCCGCGACCAATCAGAGTGCGAGCCGTGACAGGAAGCGGCTGGCGGCCATCTTTATAAAGGGCAGCTGCCCTCCGGGGACGAATGAGGCGGCCAGTCTCCGTTAGACCCCGCTCTGCCCTGACTCTGGGCTCCTCCCGGGGTTATTTGTTATCAGGGCTGTGTTCTCACACAGCAAGCGGGTTTAGGGTAACACTTTCCAGAATTAAAGATGGCGCTGGGACGGTCCCTGGCAGCTGGTGACGTCATGACGCCCGTTACGTGTTCTACATCCTAGAGATAAAATGCTGTGTCTTGCATTACGGAGCGCTGACTGACTATTTACGGCTCCGAGAACATGGCCGCCACCGCCCGGGGAGACTCCGCCTCCTCCATTCACACCGGAAGCTCGGGAGCTACGGCAGCCCCGCTGGACCAAGACAGCCATGCCCGCGCTATTCCTGGCCACTCTCTATGAATATTCCCCGCTCTTCTACATCACCGTGGTGTTTGACTGCTTCGTCATCACTTCCGGTCTGGTGCTGGGATGGTGAGTGACAGGGGAGGGGGGCGGGGCTATAATAATTAAGTGTTCTTGCATAGCAAGACCACTTAATGTTATCTCACATATATATTATTATTATTCTTATTATAGCAAAATTTGCCACCCTAACTCCTCCCACAGTTTTTACACTACATAGACCAAAATTTACCAAAACGTGCAGATTGTTCCCGATCGGATTGCTATTACTTTGTGGAGCGTTTCGCCGAATGGTTCACGGAATATCGTCGTTTTTGTGGCGCAATTTGTCCCATAGGAATGAATGGCAAAGCTAGAGTGGGAGCTGCCAAAAGCTGAAAAATCAGGACATGATTTCTAAACTGCCACCACTACCTCATTTTCAAGCCCACCTACACAAATCTTATATCAAAACGTTCAGCTATCCCTGCTGCCACTAAACATGTAAACAGCTAAGCCGTAGTCCTGATAGTTTTCACAATATGACCATTTGTTTGCAACCAACGCCGTCAATTGACATTCATTGAAACTTCACTCTGCAAAGCTCAAATTTGAAGTGCAATTTCTAAATTGCGACTGTGCCTTCAATTTTAATACTTCAGAGACATACTATGCATCAAAATGTAGGTCTGGGTCTTGTGATTCTCACAATATAAAGCTCTTCACTGTAGGATTTATAGTTTTTAAAATACGACCATTTGAAGATGGCAACCACCAAAATACTCTGACCTGTCAAGGCTGCAGCAACAAGTGATGTCATAGACAGTGCCTTTTGAACACCTGCTAATGTTTTTATAAATGTATGGTTTAATGTAACTGTGCAACAACGTTGCAATTAAATGTGCTATGTAAATAATAACAGTTACTCCGCCCACTCCAGTTGTAGACTACAGGTGGAGGCAAGAACACTTCACACAATTTCCCTGAAATTGTAACTTTTCTAGTTATTATTCTTATTCTTATTATAGCAAAATTTGCCACCCTAACTCCTCCCACAGTTTTACACTACATAGACAAAAATTTACCAAAACGTGCAGATTGTTCCCGATCGGATTGCTATTACTTTGTGGAACGTTTCGCCGAATGGTTCACGGAATATCGTCGTTCTTGTGGCGAAATTTGTCCCATAGGAATGAATGGCAAAGCTAGAGTGGGAGGTGGCAAAAGCTGAATAATCAGGACATGATTTCTAAACTGCCACCACTCCCTTATTTTCAGGCCCACCTACACAAATCTTATATCAAAACGTTCAGCTATCCCTGCTGCCACTAAACATGTCAACGGCTAAGCCGTAGTCCTGATAGTTTTCACAATATAATCATTTGTTTGCAACTAACGCCGCCCATTGACATTCATTGAAACTTCACTCTACAAAGCTCAAATTTGAAGTGCAATTTCTAAACTGCGACTGTGCCTTCATTTTTAATACTTCAGAGACATACTATGCATCAAAATGTAGGTCTGGGTCTTGTGATTCTCACAATATAAAGCTCTTCGCTGTAGGCTTTATAGTTTTTAAAATATGACAGTTTGAAGATGGCAACCACCAAAATACTCTGACCTGTCAAGGCTGCAGCAGCAAGTGATGTCATAGACAGGGCCTTTTGAACACCTGCTAATGTTTTTATAAATGTATGGTTTAATGTAACTGGGCAACAACGCTGGGTAAATTAGTCGTAATTGTGCAACAACGCTGCAATTAAATGTGCTATATAAATGATAACAGTTACTCCTTCACTCCAGTTGTAGACTACTGGTGGGAGGCAAGAACACTTCACACAATTTCCCAGAAATTGTAGCGCTTTTCTAGTTATTATTATTCTTATTATTATAGCAAAAATTTGCCACCCTAACTCCTCCCCATTGTGCTTTTACACTACATAGACAAAAAATTTACCAAAACGTGCAGATTGTTCCCGATCGGATTGCTATTACTTTGTGGAACGTTTCGCCGAATGGTTCACGGAATATCGTCGTTCTTGTGGCGAAATTTGTCCCATAGGAATGAATGGCAAAGCTAGAGTGGGAGCTGCCAAAAGCTGAAACATCAGGACATGATTTCTAAACTGCCGCCACTCCCTCATTTTCAGGCCCACCTACACAAATCTTATATCAAAACGTTCAGCTATCCCTGCTGCCACTAAACATGTCAACGGCTAAGCCGTAGTCCTGATAGTTTTCACAATATGACCATTTGTTTGCAACCAACGCCGCCCATTGACATTCATTGAAACTTCACTCTGCAAAGCTCAAATTTGAAGTGCAATTTCTAAACTGCGACTGTGCCTTCAATTTTAATACTTCAGAGACATACTATGCATCAAAATGTAGGTCTGGGTCTTGTGATTTTCACAATATAAAGCTCTTCACTGTAGGATTTATAGTTTTTAAGATACGACCGTTTGAAGATGGCAACCACCAAAATACTCTGACCTGTGTCAAGCTGCAGCAGCAAGTGATGTCATAGACAGGGCCTTTTGAACACCTGCTAATGTTTTTATACATGTATGGTTTAACCCCTTAAGGACTGGACTGTTTTTGCAATGTTGTACATTTGCGACCAGGAATATTTTTACACTTTTATGGTGTTTGTGTTTGGCTGTAATTTTCCGCTTTCTCATTTACTGTTCCCATACAAATTATATATTGTTTTTTTCAGGACAAAATGGGCTTTCTTTACATACCATTATTTATATACTCTCATGTATTTTAACTTAAAAAAAATAAAAAAATATGATGAAAAATTGTAAAAAATACATGTTTTTTGACTTTTACTTGAAAAATCTTTTACTCATCTACAAAAGCGAATGAAAAAACTGCTAAATAGATTCAAAATTTTGTCCTGAGTTTAAAAATACCCAGTGTTTACCTGCTTTTTTGCTTTTTTTTTTTCAAGTTATAGGGCTATAGGTACAAGTAGGAGATTGCGGTTTTAAAACATACATTTTTAAAATGTATCAATAGTGACATTGTAACACTATTATCTGTCATAAATCTCTGAATAACACCCCATATGCACATATTTTTTTTTAAAGTAGACAACCCAGGGTACTCAAAATGGGGTATGTCCAGTC